CAGCAAGGATTCGCAGTCTCGGCTCCCACGTGGCCCCACCTCCACCACCCGCCTGCTTCCCTGGGCAGGTTCCTGGCCACCTGCTCTTCCACCCCTTGGCTCTCTGGACACCAGTCAACCTCCCCCTGCCCACCCCGTCCAGCAGCCACACTGCCTTCGCCCAGGAGGGGGTCCAGGCTCAGGCACAGGGAGGGTCGACGGCACTGCTCACCTCCCGAGCTGCCGCAGGGTGCCTGCTGGGTGGCTAGAGGCCACAATTCAGCCAAGTCAGCAAGTCAAACCTGCTGCCCACTCCCTATATGGCAACAGAGTCACCATCTTGGATTCTTAGTACCTTCTGAACAAAAAGGCCTGCATTTTCATTTTGCACCGAGCCCCTCAAACTAATAGCCATTCCTGCCATAGGGTCTCCACAAAGTTGACCTGCCACTCCCTCTGGACCCCAAGCACCATCACCCCTGTGTTTCGGCTTCGTCCTTCCGCAGGCTTCTTCCCATCACTGCGGTCATCTGTCAAGTCCTTCCATCTGCAAACAACCAAAGGTTCCCTCCCCCACACTTCCTTCTTCTCCCTCTCCCTCCCGCTCCCTCTCTCTCTGCCCAGACAGTTCTCGAAAGCTGTCTCCCTGTCCCCGCTTCCTCCCTGCACACCCACTCCTCAGCCCTCTGTGCAGAAGCTGCCGTCACTTCTGCCACGAAACTGCTGTCACTGCCGCCACCGCCAGTGCAGGCAGGTCCGCTTCAGTCCTATCTTCCCGCAGCATGACCTCCCCCTCGTCCATGAACCTCTGCCCCTCGTGTTGCTGCTGCTGCTGGCTGCTTGCTCCTGCTCAGGCTCACCTCCCAGGGTCTCTCCTCGGCCTTCCCTAAACATCGGGGGCCTCAGAGCTCATCTTGGGCCTCACACATGCACACACACGCACACATACACACACACACGCACACACATGCACACACTCCATGGGCAATCTCATCTGTTTCCATAAGGTTAACTACAACCTTTACTGAAACTATTGGAGTTTCATGGGGCAGGGACTGTGTCACCCAGCTCCCAGCACGGCGGCTGGCACAGTGTGCTCAATAATCACTTGCTGAATGAATGAATGGTGTCTTCTAAATAGATCTGCCAGCCCAGATCTCTGGCCTGAACTCATATATCCATCTGTGTCCGCATCTCTCACCCAGACATTTCATGTCCTATCTGTGCACATCATGTCCAATGTGACATATGTGATGAGATAGTGTGTATTTTATTAAGTCCTTTCTTTCCTATCAGGTCTCTCCCCCCGCCTCCCACTAGAAGGTAGACTCCTTGGGCACAGAGGTCTTTGGTTGGTTGGCTCAGTGCTGTATCCCAGGGCCTTAGAACAGTGCATGGCACACAGTAGGTGCTCAATAAATACGTTCTGAGCAAATCAATGGGTCTCCACATGGATGGCCCACATCTCAGCCCCAGTATACCCAGAACTGAGCCCTCCACGTCCGCCCACACCTCCTCCTCCAGG